CTATAAAGGACGTTGGCTGAAACACAAAGAGAGAAAGCATCAAAGCATAGATAAAATGAATGCACAAGCTAGCTGTGGCCACGGAGGTACATGGATGACAGGTGTATCATTTACACTTTAGTCAATGACAGTGCAGTATTTCTCTACAGATTACGAATTCACGCAAGTCTGGGCTAGTGCTGAAATTGCTTTACTTTTTCATACATATTAATTTCCCATAACTGTGAGCGAACTTGCACCGTATGAAAAATCAATGTTGACAGCTTTGACAGTTTATCTGGCGCTTAGTCCCTGTTCAGTCTGACACCAAACATTCGCTGATAGTTAAAAATCACCCTACTGTCAGAGAAGCTGCTGTGATTTTCTTTTCTTTTCTTAACTAGACACATTCAGATTTTATTTTGCAGTGTCATTTTGGTGTAGTTTTATAAGGACATATTAAAAGCCCGAAATTAATTAGTTTTATGCTCAGCGTCAATTATTAATGCTGACTGTTTTGTGAAGCATTATTGGCTTTGTTGCTGCTGAGACCCCTGGAGATTGTGCCATTGTATAATGTGATTACAAAATATTTTTTTTACTATGTCCATTTTAAATATCAAAAATAAAAAAAATGCTCAGGCTCAGATAGAATAAGATATGGGTATGTCAAAATGAGTTTGAGATGTCTGTTGTTGAATAGAAAAATATATTAATTCATTACCAACCCTGCATGTCTGCAAATTAGACTAATTCTGTCATATTGCGTTTATCACGTGCAGCACAATAGAGTTGACACTATTGTCAGATGTTTTTTTTTATATCCCACCCTTACTGGGGAGTCATTATTAAATAGCTTTCGTAAATGTCTTCTTTGAAACAGTGAGGGGGAATCATACAGGAAACCGTAGTACAGCTTGTCTTCCTGTAGCATGGGAGTTCTCAGTGCTTGACTGGCTGTGTTTGGCGTTCACAGGCTGTCGCCTGTAGCAGCTTTGAGGTAACAAGCCCACAGACGTGCTGCCCCCAACGTTCCTGTCTAAATTTAAGCTGATGAAGAGATAATTGCTCAGTCAGCAGCATACAAGGCATCACTCCACAAGTGCGAACAGAAGCTAAAGCGGTGGTTCTCAACTGGTTTAGTTCTCAGATTTAACTGTGGACATCACGTGGAGACCCTATACAGTAATAAAAAATGTGCGTTACCGTTCAAAAGTTTGGCTGTTTGGCATGACTGTTTTCAACATTGACAATCATAAAAAATGTGTCTTGAGCACCAGATCAGCACATTAGTCTGATTTCTGAAGGATCAAGTGATACTGAAGACTGGTGTAATGGCTAGAGAAAAATCAGCCTTGCTATCACAGTAATAAATTCAATTTAAAGTGTATTCAATTAGAAAATATATTAAAAATATTGCACAATATTACTGTTTTTTTCTGTATTTTAAATGCAGCTGAGCATATAATACTTTTTTTAAACACAAATTACTACCAACCCCAAACTTTTGAATGGTAGTGTACAATTAAGATTGTATTTTTTTAAATCCTTAACATCAAATGTATCATGAAATGTATTAATATAGACATCAACACATTTAAAATTATTAAATAACACCACCTGAATGGGAAAAGTGACCATTTTCATGTTGTACTATAAACAGCAGAATGCTGCTTAAAAATATGGCAGAATGTGCCTAACTCCAGATTAGTAGAGTTAAAGCAGCAGCAAGGGGGTGAGACAGTGATATCACAACTGCTATGCATCTTCAAATGCAATGTCAGTAGGTTGATAGACAAATTATACAGCATTTTATGTCATGGATTGTTCTTCGAGCCTTCAAAGAAAAGGACCTACCTTAGAATTTTGTGTAGCACATTTGGGCGCAGATTGTTTGGCGAATGTCAAAGCAAGCTTTACAAAAAGGCTGTTATTGAAAGATGGAGTAGTGCCAGTTATATTGGACCTGTCAGCTCATACACAAGCAATATTGCCCATTTCACATTCAAAAAGCCTAACCAATCATAGCAAGCATCCAATACATATTTTCAATCCAATACAAGGCGCAGTATCAAAAACATCCAGTTTAATCCTATATGGAAGAGAAAGGATGGAAATCATATTATACTAAATTACAGCAAAGAAAATTGACTGAAGTGAAAATGTACTACAGGTACATTACAGGAAAAAAAGGTACAGAACATATGTGACCCTGGACCACAAAACCAGTCATAAGGGTCAATTTTTCGAAATTGTATCTGATAGCTGAATAAATAAGCTTTCCATTGATGTACGGTTTGTTAGGTTTTGGTACCGTGACAACACTAGTTCATTCATGTCTTTTTTTTTTTTTTTAATTGAGTCCCGATGTCCTCTACCGAGGACATAGCATAACTTATGAATGAAATATCATTTTTTACTTTTTTTTTTATTTTATAATTTTTTTAATGCTCTAAACAATGTAAAGACATGAAAAAAAACTATTTTTTTCCTAAAAATCTTTTCTCGGGTCTTAAGAGGTTAAATTTGTCCGAATTAAGTTCTTAGCAATGCATATTATTAAACAATAATTAAGTTTTAATATATTTAGAGTAGGAAATTTACAAAATATCTTCATGGAACATGATCTTTACTTAATATCCTAATGATTTTTGGCATAAAAGAATAATCAATCATTTTGACCCATACAATGTTTTTTTTGGCTATTGCTACAAATAAACCCCAGCGACTTAAGACTGGTTTTGTGGTCTAGGGTCACATATAGGTTCCACCAAGTGTAAATGGCAACAAAAAATAATGTGCTGTTTGTACGAAGGGTAAATTGCCTCAGCAGTGGAGGTTAGAGAAATAGCCTTTACCAAGGTTGGTATAAATAGACACTGCCAAAAAGAAATGATAACAACAGGTAGGATATGGCTTTTTAAAGCACAAACAGAAAATACATATGATGTAAGGCAGAAATCAGAGCAAATTGCTATGTGCTATTGAGTGAAGAGGTGATTGGAGGTCACTTTTATCCAACAGATAGTCTAATGCTGTATTTAAATGAGCTTTCCTGGTTATTTACTCTTGAAGATGAAGATTTGATTTCCTGTAAGAGTATTTGCAGAGATCAAATCTGATGAGAGACGGGACAGGGAAGTCACAACAGAGACCGATGGCGACGAAAGACTCATAAAGCACTCTGTTACTGGCATCGAAATGGGGATTTGAAGGCCATTTTGGAGTTATTCTGGGCATCCAATATATATACCATATATACCAATATATAATGTGTGTGTTGGTGCAAAAGCCAGTTTGTGTGTGCTGGTGCGACTCTGTGGGCGCCTTCCTGCACTGAGTCACATTATAGCTGACTCAGTGGTATGTAGAGGAGGTGGAAGAGAGCCAGATACAGCACCACCCTTTGGCTCTGTGCACAAACACACACACACACACACACACACACTTCATCAGCCGAGGCGAAAAGCTTATTTAAGTCGCAGTGGACTCAGGAAGGGTGATGAAGGATGGAGAAAGAGATGGAGTAAATGAGCCTTGTTGATATCTCCAGGGTTTATCTTAAGAATATTCCAGATAATTCCAGAGCAAATGAGCTGGTCTTATGGAGTGTTAGGTTAATTGTGTTGCAGATTCCTGGATTTATGGTAATTTGGTTCAGTCTTGCTGTAAATTGCCTGTTAAAGTCATTAGTATTCCTGATGAGAAGTAGACTCAGATCTGCTCTGTAATAATGTAATTGTATTTACCTGTAAGAAGGTAGCTGTGGAGATAGGACTTCACACTTTATTAATGGGCGCCTCTTCAGTTAATATTTTAACCAAGTTCCCAAAATACACTCAGATCTGGGTGACAGTCGGAGTTGTTTGCGCAGATGGGAAGAGGAGTGAGAGTGTGAGCGCCTGGGTTCTGTGCCAGGATGCTTACAGTAATGGGTCTCGCTGACTGATTTGGTAATTATGTCCTGATATGTGTGGCTGCTTTATTTATGGTCACCATTATCAAGGACCTTGGTTCTCATTTATGAGCAAGATGGCTCTGACCTCAATCTTGTAGGTGTGTGTGTGTGTACTGACAGCAACCAATCACTCTCAGATTGACTGTGGTGAGTTTCCACTACGTTTGACCCCTTCAGTATGACTTCAGATTGACTTTTGGCTTTGTATAGGTAGGTCATTTGAAATTAGCAAGTCTTGTGTCCAGTAAGTGTGGGAGCAGACAGATGACGGTAAGTGATCTGCTCTGTATTACTATGTGATGGAGGGCTACAGGGTCAATGACATATAAGATAAAGTAAAGGTGCTTTAATGTTGGATTCATATGGTTTTGAAAACTTTTATACCATTTTCAAGAAAGGTTTCAATTTTAATGACTCTAAAAATGTCATATAATTTAACAAAGTAAGAAGAATTAGCATATTTTGCTTAAATCTTGAATACAGGTGTGAATATTTTTACATGTATTTTTCTACAAATTGTTACTTTTTTTAAATGTCATGAATTATTATTTCATAAGTATCATAAATACCATGCTTTTGGGAAGCCATATGCATGTGGCATTTTACAACATTGCTTTGTAATGAAAAGTTCAAATTATCTGATATTTAAAGAGACGTATTGATCTTGACACACAGTCATGAGGGTTGGCAGGTGTCCTTTCTATGATGTAATTTCCTTTTTTTCTTGCATGTTGGTTGGAGAACATTACTGTTTATTTGACAGACAAATGGTTTTCATTTATATGCAGTAATAATCTTTTAGACATAGCAATAAAGGATTATGACAAAAAAGTTTTTAATAAATAATAGCTACATTGCATCACCTTGATGTCTTTATGCCCAAAAAGTATCAAATTTTGTTTCAGAAATTAAAAATGTGTCCTAGGTTCATGTCATTGACCCCTATTTTGCTCATCTTTATTAAACTTTTATATTGCACTGTGTTGGTATTAATGCATCTCTTATAATGCAAAACATTGGTATGCTCCCAGCTTACCTGCTTTGTTTCTCCATTTTCTTGCAGAGAGAGAAGAGTACGTGGCCACCTTCAAGGGTTCAGAGTATTTCTGTTACGACCTGTCCCCGAACCCCATCCAGAGCAGTAGCGATGAGATTACACTCTCCTTCAAGACCCTGCAGCGCAATGGACTGATGCTCCACACCGGAAAATCTGCAGACTACGTTAACCTGGCGCTGAAGAATGGTGCCGTCTCGCTGGTCATCAACCTGGGCTCTGGGGCCTTCGAGGCCCTGGTGGAGCCCGTCAATGGAAAATTTAATGACAATGCCTGGCATGATGTGAAGGTTACCAGGAACCTTCGTCAGGTAACCGCGCAGAAATGGCAAAGGTCGAGATTGGATACATTCAGTTTCCGATAAGTCTCATCAAACTAACCCTCGGACTAGATTTAACCGTATTTAACCATTTTAATCAATTCCAGGGTCAGAAATTAACAATATTTGCCCTCTGGAGTTGATTCCCAGGGGCATTTTTTACCTTTGTAGGGGCAATTTTTATATTTACCTAATCAACTGTATCTGTGCTTAAATTTAACCAGTTGCTTCAATCAGTTACAATACTATAGACTGTTACTAATAAAGCATGACTGTTTAATGCTGCTCATGTACATGCAATTACACAAAAATTGCATAGTAATGGCTTATACATTAAAACTAATTACAAGATGAAGCTGCAATATCATGATAAAATCATTATTGTTGATTATTGCTCTGTAATAATGATTGTTAATGTTGATTAATAGAAAGCTTCTGCTGGAATATAATCACTGAAGCTATTTACACTGCTAATTCAATCTCTTACTTGCATCGTTTCTGCACTTTGTTGTTTATGATGATGAGAGAATTCGCGAATGCAGATTCAGAATTCCGTCAGTGAGCGTGCATACCGAACAATTCTAGCGTCCTCCGCGATGACGAATCCAAACACCTCTGATTGGACATTGCATTCATAAACTCAACAGAAATGTGTGTGATTGGTTGTAAGGCTCAATTCTGCAAACAATGCATAAAAAGAAATCGAATGCAAATTGAGCAAATTTGCCATAAATGAAATTCGACACTTTATATTCATTTCACTTTAAGCTTGACAGATGTAATAGATCTTGATTAATGTTAATTTCCGACCCTGATCGAGACATAACACCAATTTAAAATAGTTCAGGTTTTCAAGTTATGTATTTGAAAGTTGCTTAAAGATGAGACTAAAAGAGAAAGTTCTTGTAATTTGGTCCGCTTTTATCATTTTAAATTAGCACTAGCACTCATTTATGTAGCATAGAGCAGAGCTGATGTAAAAAAGACGCTCCCGATATTAAAGTATTTATTAAGCAGCCATGAATTCAGCTTTCAGAGATGAGTGAACGTACCTTTAACCCTGTTCCCCTCAACTAATATTTAAATTCAACCTCAGTCGCTACGGCATCCATATTTTACTGTCACTATTTGATAGCGCCACCTCTCACTACATTACACGAGTACGTCACCTGTCAGCGCAGAACGCGTTTGAAGTGTCAAGACTCGGAAAAGATCCTAGACATGTGGCACGAAGTTGGATAGGGCAGGCAATAAACATAAAAAGCTCGTCACCAGTAAAGTTAGCGGAGCGCCAGGAATAGGAAGAGACAGTGTTTGGAACAGAGTAGACTAGATTCGTCCCAGAGGAACTCCACGGTGCAGATCTCGTCTGCTTCTCCTTTCCTTCTCTTCTTTTGCCCTTTTTAAATGTTTACTAACCTGCTTTTGGGGAAAGAAACTAACCTTTCATCCATGGAATGTGTCATTTACTAACCTGTTACCTCTTACTAACGTGCAACGCTGATGTACTAACCTTGGCAAGAGACCATCGTTTTTGATTGAGGAACGGTGTTCTGTTCACAGTTTTTTAATTTCCTTTCTCCCCCCTTTTCCACAAAGCACTCAGGCATTGGACACGCTATGGTAAACAAACTACATTGTTCGGTAGATATCATTCTAATTGTTTCTTAGTTTGGGTTTGCCGTGTGTCTATTTTCCTTTTTTTGAATCGTAGACATCAATACTAAACAAAAAAAGGGGGAAAATGCGGTTGGTACTCTTTACGCTTACTTCCCCTGCCCTGCCCAAATTCCCCTTTTCTTTTTCTTCTCATTAGTTGGGTTTCCTCAGCTCTTTATGTCCCGTCCATCTTCTCTTTTTGTTTTTCCTCTTAGGTTATCTTGCATCTTTGCCTTCGTTGGGTTCTTTTGCATAAGGTTTTGCTCATCGATCGGTCTCGGCTGGCTGGCTCTGAGTTTTTTCATTGGTCCAGCTAGCATTGAGGCCTGTTGTTCAGCATGGTGTGCATCCTGGCCACCCCGTGTACTAACACCTCTGCTCCATCAGTACATTCAAGGCTGGCATGGGTGGCCGGTCATCTCGTCTGTTGTCGTTTTTGCTTTCTTTCTTTATGTGAACACGCTTATGCATGCCGGCACTTCTGCTGTGTTTGGTCTCATGAGCCGTGTCGTGTTTGTGTCCTTCTCCCTCCCTTTCTCTCTTTACTCATTCCTGTGCAGTCTAATCTGTGAGAAGAATTGTTCTGTCTAACCAACCATTGTTTGCATGTGGAGAGGGAGGGATAATGAAGCATGCATCCATTCAACCAGATCTGTGAGAGATGTGCCTCTAATTGCCTGTTCTTTCATTTCTAACCTCTTAGCACGCCGTGTTCTTTGTTTTACCTCATATAAAAACATTGAAAACTGCTTAAACTACTCACACGCACTGGATTCAAGCGATACTAACTCTCAGAAACACACATACTACTAACACCATTTTTGTGTCTGCTGATTTACTTTTTGTGCTCTATTAATGGCACCGCTAACATTGAGCCTTGGCTAATGTGCCGCAGACTTCCTCAGCTCAGACTTACTAGAAGTTCATACCAAATACGTAAATCTAGAAAGACCAAAAAAAAAAAAAAAGTTAAACAATAAATAAATAAGAATTCCTGAAACAGACATGAAAATGGGTTCACATTAAATCAATAAAAAGAGAAAATATATAAATAAATCTATAAATAAGAAGCATTAAAGGCAAAAACAAAACAAAGCCAAGCATCCAAATCCTTACGAGGGGGACCAAAGCCCTGTAATGGTATTCAAGTTATATGTGAGTATAGCGTGTCCTTTCCCTGTGCTTTGTTGTCTAGGTTACAATATCCGTGGATGGAATTCTGACCACCACTGGATAAAACACAATCAATCCTAGAAAAAAAAACAGTGAACCACCCCTTTAATAATAACCCAATTTGAAGCAAAAACAGAATGTTCTGTTTGTGAAATTATACTACATGCCTGAACGAAGCAAACAGCAGATGCTCTGAATGAGATGCAGATTCACTCTCTGACAGCAGGAGGCGCTTCTGGAACACCAGATGCGGTGTTTCCTTGGTTACCGCTGTAAACGAAGAAGCACTGCGCTGAAACACTGCTTTAATATGAACTATACAGAGACGAGATTAAAAGTCATATTTTCACATAAATGACATTTTGGAAAACGATTGCATTGCAACGCAGTTTGTGCAAGTCCAGAACAGAGACGAGACGAGACGAGACGAGTTGCTTGCAATAAGACAAAAAACGGCCGGTTGCCGATCGCGTAAGTTCCAGGGGAAGCGCCTTAGTTCGGCCATCATACACACACGTGACTGACCTCTCGCTCGCACCAACAGGAGGAGGACGGTCGTGTTACTCTCTACACTGCACTCAACCTGAGGGATTCCTACACTTTCAGTCTTTAAAGAGACATGAAAAACTGCGCATACTGCAGGAACGGTATTACGGAAAATGTTAGTGGTTTTGAAACCGTGAAATTTTCAAATCGCGGTATACCTTGTAACCGGTAATCGGCCCATGCCTAATATATATATATATATAATGGCTGTCCTCTGTCCTTGACAGAGGACCTATATCTGACTGTCATTGCACATTCACACACTCTCAATATGCACACATTGCACATCACATTGTTATTTGCACTCCTTATCCAGCTACCCTGTATAATTATGTACATTTCTTATTTTATTTGTTTTTATACAGTAGTTGGTTAGTTCTTTATATGTACATGCAGGTCCGCATGCACGACTAAAATAAGAAATGCGCTGTGTAAATGAGTTCAGAGCGCGCGTTTGCGTACCGACATGGGCTGTGTTTCCCAAAATCATCGTAAGCCTAAGTACATCGTAGACCCATTGTCACCTATGGAGCTACGATCAACTTAGGCTTGCAATGCTTTTGGGAAACGCAGCCATGGTTGATTAATTGTTGACATCAGGGCCGTTTCTAGGCATAGGCGAGCTAGGCGGTCGCCTAGGGCGCCACTAGCTGAAGGGGCGCCAATGAGCGCACGTACTGGCACTTTTAGCAGGGTTGTGATAAAGAGTGGCACGGTCACCCTGAAATATGACTGCCGCCCCCACTGGATCCCCCAACATT